TGCGGGCCCGGGCAGAGCCGCGGGGAGCGGGGCGCAGAGCCRCGGGCCGCACGTGGGGCTGGGACCGCGCAGCGGCTGCGGGTGACGCTCGCGCTGGGTGCTGGCCTGGCGGGACCCCCGTGTCCYGGGCGCTGCTGCCTGTGCAGGGCGCACGGCGGGGAACCTGCAGCCACCCCTCTGCACTGGAGGGGGGCCCGCAAAATGGGGCAGGGGGGTTAGCGGGGGCTTTATTGCAGCGGCCGGCCGGGGTGGTCACAAAGCCAGCATGGACGGTGCCCTTCCCGCCGCCTTTCTTTCTGTCCCCGCTCCCCCCTCCCTCCTTCCTTTCCTTTATCGCTTCCTTTTCTTATGCATGCCGGGCAGGAAGGGGGGGGCACCTGCCTTAATGGCAGCCCGGGGGGGGACGGGGGGGCTGTCCCAAGGAGGAGCCCAGCACATCCCATCCCATCCCGGCCCTTCCCGCGCTGCTCCCTGGCCTAACAGGCTCTTCAACTTCTCCGCTCCCCTCCTCCCGCCGGAGGTGCGGCGGCGGGATCCTGCTCGGCGCAGGCGGGCCAGGTTTCCTGGGTGGGAAAAGGGCTTTTTTCGTTTTGTTTTCTCTTTCTGCTTCGCAGATCTGAGTCGCTGCCTCTCTCCGTTTTCCCTCCCCGGGCTGGTTTGTTTAACGTAGGAGTAGGTGGTTGGAATGGGGATTTACGGGGCTGGGCACGTGGTGGGAGCCCCCAAGGAGCCGCYGGGTTGAGTTGCTGCTCCCGCAGCCTGATGTTGCACCCCCATGTCATGCAAGAGGGGGTCCCCAGAGCAGCCAGGCTCCCACGTGGGAGCTGGGAGAGGAGCGGGGTGGTTGCACCAAGGCCGCTTATCCCCAGGGATGGAGGGGGAAAGAGTTTTGCGTCCTCCAGCTGCATCCGTGCAAAGAGAGACCCCAACCCCAGAGCCGCCCGTGCGAGGGTCCAGTCCCAGCTCCCCCTGCTCCAGGATGCTGCCTGCMGTACATCCGTCCCTCCGGGGCAAGGCTTTTTTTTCCTCTCTCCAGCTACTTCCTTTCCTCCATGGCAACCCAGCTGCTTCGGCGGCCACGCTCCTTCCTGCGGCACCGGAGGCGGCAGCGCAGCTGCCCCCGCCAGGCACCAGCAGGTTCTGATACCCCCACCCCGGCTGGGATCATCTGCCCCCCGGGAACCATCCCGGGGTCTCCCCATCCGGGAAGGCGGKGGAGGATCCCTCTTGGATGCACGTGCTATCATCCAAGGAGGATGGAGAGACCCCAGGTCCCTCCATCCACAGCAGTAGGAGAGGATCCGGAGCGGTGCCGAGGATGCAATTCCTCCAGGGAATTGCCCGTTGCCTCCACTTTGCTTTTCTGCACCTAAGCCCTCGTTTTTAAGCACTCCGTGAAGGGAGGCTCTGGAAGCGCTGCTGGGAGGGACCTTTCGGGGTGTTTACGCGGCTCCGTGGTTTCTGCCTCTCCAAAAAGACCCGCGGGTGGTTTTTGTTGTTGTTGTTTCGCGCTCTGAGTCACTCGCAGCCCGGGCGGGAGCTGACGAGTCTCTGCAGCAGCCTCCGAGGTCGGTGCTCCGGGCGCCCGGAGCAGCCCTGTCCCGGCATCCAGATTGAAGCCAGATGCTGGGAAGGGAGCATCCTTATCCCTTCAGGCACAGGACGGGAGCAGGATGGGGGCGACAAGCTCCGCACAGCCCCTCTGGGCTGCCTGGGTCCCACGGGAGATGCCAGGGCTGCAGCCGGGATGTGGGAGGCATCACCGGGAAACATGCTGGGATTTTCCCACGGAGCCAGTTGAGGCCCGGAGCAGCCGGTCCTTTCAGCTGTGCTCCTTGCTGAGCACCCTGAGCCTCGCAGCTCTGGATAAGCAGGTTCTTCCCTGTGCTGCAGGGAGGCAGCAGGGCAGGGAGGAGAGGACGAAGCCTCCCCTGGAGGCCAGCAGGACCCTTGGGTGCTGCAGCTGGGGAGGGGTGACCTGGTGGCCCCGGGAGCAGCACCAGGGGATGCCCATCGCTCCAGGATGGAGCCAGGGCCGGAACTGGCCCAGCTTTTCCCAGGGAAAGCCCTGGGGGCAGCTGCTTTAGTCCAGGCGGTGCCATCCCGCTCCTCTCCTTGCTCCTGGATCCAAGCACGGCACGGCAGCTCCGGGAGGGGCTGGGGGAGGCAGAAGCCAGGGCTATGGGGAGGTGCATGGGGACCCCCCAGGACAGCCCCAAACTGACCTTGTCCATTTCCTCTCATCCCCAGCAGGAAGATGAGCGAATCCGGCGCCAAATCCAGCCAGGCCCTGGCATCCAAGGGGGAGAAGGACACAGCGGAGAAGAGGGGCCGGGGCCGGCCCCGGAAGAAGCCGCAGGTACAGCCAGCCCCAAAGCCCCCCATAGCCCGGGGGGGGGGGGGCTCCTGGTGCTTGCAGGGGCCCCCCAGCTGCAGCTGAACCTGCTCTTACCACTGGGCTAATTAAAGCCACTTTAGCAAAAGCTGCTCAGCGGGATCAGGTGCTGCTGGAGCCTTTTCCAAGCTGGAGTCGGCTCCCCCATGCAGCCCCCATTGGAGGGACAGTGCAAGGGGGTGGGGGGGGGTGGCAGGATTGCACCCCTGTGTCCCCCCTGCAGCCAGTGGGATTTTCCCATTGCCCTGTGCCCCCCTTGCCAAGGTTGGGCTCCAGTAACAGGGCCTGAGATGCTACTGGTTGAAGTGGGGATGGAAACGTTATTGTGGGGAGGGAGTGGAAACAAGAGCCCCCATTCCGGCGCTTCCCACCCTGGCACGGGGAAGTGGCTGCCGGCCAGGGTGATCCCGGCGCAGGGGGACGCGGATCCCGGAGCATCCCGGCCCCGGGCTCAGCAGCCGCTGCCCTCCCCCCAGCAGGAGCCCAGCGAGGCGCCCACCCCCAAGAGGCCGCGCGGACGACCCAAGGGCAGTAAAAACAAGGCCACCCCCAAAGGCAGGGTAGGTGCCTGCGGGGCGGGGGGTCAGGGGGGTCCCAGGGATGCTGGTGCCCAAGGGGACCCGAGAGATGCTCATCCCGAGGAGGGGAGGGCGCTGGAGGGATGCTGGTCCTTGGGGAAGGATCCAAAGGGATGCTGGTCCATGGTGGGTACCGGAGGGACGCTGGTTCCCAGGGGTGGTTCTGGAGAGAGGCTGGTCCCTGGGGAGGGGGGTCCAGAGCAGTGCTGGTCCCTAGCAGGGAAACCAGAGGGATGCTGGTCCCTGGGGAGGGGGGTGCAGAGGGATGCTGGTCCCTGGGGCGGTTCTGGGGCGATGCTGGTGCCTGGGACCCAAGGGATGCTCCTCCCGGTACACGGAGCACGAGAAACCTGTTCTCAAAACATCCGACTCACATCCTGCCCCGCGCCGTGAGTCACGGCCCCCCCGCACCGGGGGCAGGGGGGGGCGAGCAGGGYGCTCCCCCCCGCCGGGGATGCCACTGGGATGCTGCATTTGGCAGTGGGTGGGAAGTGGGGAAGGCGCCAGCAGCAGGGAGGGGGCAGGACACAACCCCCATCCCCTCCAAAACGCCCTGGTTTTTAGTATTAATATTTTTTACTCCCCTCCCTGCCCTGGCGCTCAGAAAGCGGCAGTCACAGTCACGCCAGGGAGAAAACCGCGAGGCCGACCCAAAAAATCGGTGAGTGGCCTTTGCCTCCTCCTCCTCCTTCCTGGCGGGATGCGGAGGGTTTCTGCTTGCAGCAGCCCCATAGGGACCCCCTGCATGGGGTGAGGGGGGGTTGGTACCGGCGGGGGTGGCGGATCCGGCGCCGCCACCGAGCGGGACGGGGCTTGTCGAGGCGGGTGGGCTGGCACGGAGCTGCCSCCGGCTCGGCACCGCTCACCGGCCTGGCGTCCCATGGCACCTTTCCCACTCGCGTTTTCCTCCTCTTCCCTGTGGCGTTTGCATCGGGAGGCTGCGATTTGCAGCTCCCAGACACATCCAGGCCCCAGAGGAGCCTCTGCCCTTGGGGCTTTTTCCCTTTTCCTCCCTCAATTCCCTGTGGGAGCTGCAGGTGGGAATCCAAACTCTTCCACTTTTCCCACCTGTGCTGCAGTGGGGCCAGCACCTGCATCCGCCGCCTGCACAGGACAGCCCAGGCTGCCTCCTGCTCCCAAAGGGGCTTAAAAGTGCAGGAAAATACCAGCAAAGCAGCTCCRGGAGCCACGGCAGGGCGGCTGCAGCCACGTGCATGCCACATGCAATGCACACACGTGCACGCTCACGCACACGGGCGCACACGCAGGACGGTGCAACCCAGCTCCGCTGCAGCGCAGCATCCTCCTCCCTTGCAATTTGGGGGGCGATCCCTTCGGGAAGCCCAGGGCATGCCCTCATTCCCAGCCCGGGGCGGGAGGGGGACRCGGGCGGCGCGGGCAGCATCGTGGCAGCCGCCGGGGCCTTTTTATGAATGAAGCAGGAGGAAGCGGAGGCCGCCGCTGACTCACGCTCCCGCTCAGCCCTGACTCAGCGCCGGGCGCGGGAGGC